GCATAAATAGCCCCAGCCAGTTTGGCTCAGTGGATAGAGTGTCATCCTGCGGACTGAAGGGTCCCAGATTCAATTCCCATCAAAGGCACATGCTCAGGTTGCAGGCTCAGTCCCTAGTAGGGAGTGTGCAGCACGCAGCCAATCAATGATTCTCTCTCATCACTGATGTTTCTATCTCTCTCTCCCTCTCCCTTCCTCTCTGAAAGCAATAAAAAATATATTTAAAAATATTTGCATAAATATATTAAAACTGAGTCCCATAGCATAATAGCATAACATTAGAGTTCTTTTCTTGTGATTGATATTAATTCAATGTGTAGTTTAATGAGCTATTTGTAGCGCCCTTAACAGCTCTTCTTAGCTGCAAAAATATGATGAAAGGTATTATTAAATGCCTTTCTAAAGTCAAGATGCTCTATAAAAATTAAATATTTTATTAACAAAAGATTGCTTTTTATTCACTTCATTTCAGATATATATGTATATATATGTATATATCATTACATATTGCCCATGCACATCAACTTAATCCTATGGATAACTACCAACACAATGTCAATATTATCAATGCCCCTAAAATAATAATTTATATTAATACTAGAGGCCCTGCATGAAATTCGCAGTCTGGGAGCCCTCGAGGGATGTCCAACTGCCCACGGAGGCAGGAGAGGCTCCCGCCACCACCACTGCGCTCGCCAGTCGTGAGCTAGGCTCAGGGCTTCTGGCTGAGTGGCACTCCCCCTGTGGGAGCACACTGACCACCAGGGGGCAGCTCCTGCTTTGAGCGTCTGCCCCCTGGTGGTCAGTGCGTGTCATAGCGACCAGTCATTCTGTCATCAGGCCAAGACTGGCCCTCTGACATTCCCCAAGGGGTCCCGGATTGCAAGAGGGTGCAGGCCAGGCCGAGGGACCCTACCAGTGCCCAATCGGTGCCCAATCGGGGCCAGGGAAGGATGCGGGAGGTTGGCCAGCCGGGAGAGAGCTGTGGGAGGGCTCCAGGGCTTGTCCTGCCCCTCTTGCTCAGTCCCGATTGGCCAGACCCCAGCAGCAAGCTAACCTACCAGTAGGAGCGTCTGCCCCCTGGTAGTCAGTGCGCATCATGTCAACTGGTCGACTGTCTGCCCCCTGGTGATCATGGCATGTCATAGCAAGCAGTTGAGCTACCTTAGCATATCATCAGCATATTATACTTTGATTGGTTGAACAGCCAACCAGACAACTGGACACTTAGCATATTAGGCTTTTATTATATAGGATATTCACATGTTTGTAAAAATTCTCTTAATGTAAATTTTGTTCTAAGACAATCTGGATATCTTTGTAGAATAATGCTACAATTGAGAAATCAGCAAAATCAGACCATGACTAGGTTTCCATACGTATGCAATGGATAAGAGAACAAAACTATATCAAATAGTGCATTACTCTGGAAGCCTCAGTTATTTTAAGATAAATTTAACATTATCTATATTGCTTAAAGCTCTCATATGAAATCTTCCCTGTCACTATACTGGTTTTAATTAAATCAAGTATATTTAGCAAAATGAGTACATGGACCAAATTAACCCAGAACAGTAGCTTTAGTAATAAGTGCACATCCAGGTGCCCTTTCCACTTTAAAAGTTAAAGATATGGTCAAGTAAAATCTTCCGTTCTAGGACATATCTTCTCATATCAAAAAAAAATCTATTATTATGTGACAGCATCATGACAAAAAATGTTATTTTGGGGCAGCTCAGCCAGTGTGGCTCAGTGGCTGAGCATCAATGCAAGCATCAAGAGGACACCAGTTCTATTCCCAGTCAGGGCACATGCCCCAATTGCAAGTTCATCCCCAATAGAGGGTGTGCAGGAGGCAGCTGATCCATGTTTCTATCTCTCTTCCTCTCCCTTTCTCTCTCACTAAAAGTCAATAAAAAAGAACTTATTTAAACTTATTTGGGGGCAGTTGTATCTCTGTCACTACTTTCTCAGCTACTTCACACAACTGAATAGACTCAGAGTAGCCCCACAATCATGCAAAGTAATTTAGACATTATTTTACATCACTATTTTATCGATGCTTATGAGGAAATTCTTACTGATTTTTCTAATTTTTTAACCTCTTTTCAGAAAACTAGGAGGATTTCTCTGGGAGATAGATATAGCTTTGTGAAGCCAACTGATTCATGGGGAAATGCCCACCTTTTCTTTGTTCAACTCAACCATTTTTGCTTCCTAGGAATAAAGGGAAGATGAAGGATCGACTTCAAGAACTAAAGCAAAGAACAAAGGAACTCGAAATCTCTAGAGACAGGCATGTGTCAACTACAGAAGCAGAGGAACAAGGAAGGATTCTGCAGCAAGCTGTTATTTATGAAAGAGAGCCTGTAGCCGAGAGACACCTACATGAGATCCAAAAACTTCAGGAGAGTATTGACAGTTTGACAGACGATGTTCAAAAATTTGGGCAGCAACAGAAAAGTCTGTTGGCTTCAATGAGAAGATTTAGTCTCCTTAAGAGAGAGTCGGGCATTACGAAAGAGATTAAAATCCAAGCAGAACACATCAAGAGAGGTTTGGATGATTTGGTAAAAGAAGCAAAAAAATCAGAGGCTGAAACGGGTCCATCATCAGTGGTCACAAGGATACTTAAATCTCAGCATGCCGCAATGTTCCACCACTTTCAGCAAACCATGCTGATATACAATGACACAATAGCAGCAAAACAAGAGAAGTGCAAGACATTTATTTTCCGTCAGCTTGAAGTTGCTGGAAAGCAAGTGCCGGAAGAAGAAGTAAATGATATGCTTCATCAAGGAAAATGGGAAGTTTTCAATGAAAGCTTGCTTACAGAAATCAATATCACTAAAGCACAACTCTCAGAGATAGAACAGAGACACAAGGAACTTGTTAATTTGGAGAATCAAATGAAGGATTTAAGGGAGCTGTTCATTCATATATCTCTTTTAGTAGAAGAACAAGGAGAAAGCATCAACAATATTGAAATGACAGTGAATGGTACAAAAGAGTATGTTAACACTACTAAAGAGAAATTTGGCCTAGCTGTGAAATATAAAAAAAGAAATCTTTGCAGGGCACTGTGTTGTTGGTGTTGTCCATGCTGTGGCTCAAAATAAACAATCTGTTTTAGAAAACTCTTCAGCTTTAGAATGAAGGATGCCCTGTATTTCAGTATCTTGTTTTTCTTCATTTCACAGATTCATTCACATACTTTCTTATTATTGTTATAATTTCCTCCTTTGGTCCTTACCCACTAGAATTGCATACACTTCCAAAGCCAGTGACATAAAACGTCTTCATTTACTAAAATAAAAACATTATGCTTAGCTATTGAAAGTGAGGTGAATGATCTTGTTTCTAATCAGGTATCAAGCTCTACCATATGTTTTTGTAATTTCCAATGTCTTTAGGAGATGAACGTCAGTAAGTGACAACTAGTTAAACATTCTTTTGGTTCATTTGAGAGTATTTTGGTAGGTAAGAATTGTATAAAATAAGACCTCAAAGGATACTATATTCAAGCAAATTTAACGGCAGCTGTATCAAATCTTTTATGTTCAAATATTGCAGATAATTCAGTGGTCAACTAAATCCTGACAAAATCCAGCCATGTACTTGATGAAGACTCTAGTTGGTAACTGGGAGCTAAATCTAGTTTAAAGCCTACGAAGGCAAATTAAGGCACTGTTTCCCTGAACTTGGGTTCATTCGGGACACCGTGTAACATACAGAGCAGGAAGGTTGGGAAATGAGGTAAAAAATAAAGGTATTCTCAAAAGTTTCTCCATCACTTTTTTGTAAAGCCAGACACTACACTAGGGGCTAGGGATATAACTGGAACTCACAAAGGCATAGAAATCTGTAATTCACACTCTAGTGGAGAAAACAGATAACAAACAAATACAAATATCAGATCATGCTGTCTTGGTAAACTTAAAATAAGGGTATGGTGAGTTAGAGACTATTACTACCAGAGTGGCATCTTTGGGTTGGGCGGTAAGAAAGGTAATATTAAGTGAAAATCTCAATGATGAGGACAAGGGATGGTATCTTCCAGGCATAGGATACAAACAGTAGAAAGACCATGAGGAGGGTAATTTACTCTGGTCAAAGAAAAATGAATAGTACAGCTATTTCACAGTGGCTAAAAGAGCAGTAAGGGAACAATGAAGTTAAGAAAGATCAGCAGGGGCTACAGTTAAGAGTCACGTAAGTCTGAAAATTACAGCAAGTATAATCAATGAAAAGCCCGCAGATTATTTTTTTGGCCTGGGAATGTTATATAATCTATATCTGAGAAAAGTCATTCTATTGTATGCAGAGTGGGTTAGAATGGATTTGGGGCAGGTGAGCAGAAAACAGGAATATAGGTATAGAAAACAATTGGAAGGTTAATGAAGTAGTCCTCATAAGAGATGATAGAGGCTTATACTAGGATGGGAATGGAGGTGGTGATGGTCAAGATGAATAAAGTACTTGCTATGTTCCAGCATAGTTCTAATAATTTCACAAGTTTACCAACAAGAACACTGAGATATACAGCGAGGTTAAGTAACCTGTCCCAAGTCACAGAAACTGTATGTGGAGAATCAGGATTTGAACTCAGGCAGTATGATTCCAGAACTACTATATACTATACAGTGGTGATTTAAAAAAAAATTAGACTAAACTGTGATAGATTTAAGAGGTAGAAACTACAGGGTACTGATTAGATGATATTGCCATTTATTGAGATGGGAAAAGACAGAAATGAAGGTTTGAACAAGGGAATCTGTGATGATAATAAAATGTCCAAGTGGAGGTTTCTAAGATATTAGTTAAATCAGTAGCAATTCTTGGGAAATGTCAGGGCTGAAAGTATAGATCTGGGTTATTTGAGTAAATAAATGGTATTTAAGATCAGCTGACTTTAGGATGAAGTCATCTAAAAAGTGTATAAAAAAACTGGAGGCCCAGAAAGAAGCCTGGGGTATTTAAAGCATAAAAGGAGTTACTGAGAAGAAACCATCAATAATGTAGAAACCAAGAAATGTGCTACAAAATGCAAAAGAAGTGTGTTTAAGAGGGACAAAGTTGAGGAAACTGTCAATTTTATAGTTTGGCCAGGTGATAAACAAGAATGGCAAAGTGACAGGGGATTTGGGAACATGGGGATATTTTGCTGAATCCAACAAGGGCAGTTTCAAGCAATTTTAGGGATGGAAGCACAAGTGGAGTATACTGAGGAAAGAATATGATATGAAGAACTACAATGGCCACTACAGACAATTCTTTCCAGAAGTTTGAATAGACGACTATAAAAAGGAGTCAAGAGCTGGGGAGGGCTATGGAGTCAGGACTCTGTAATAATTAAAGCTAAGAAACATGAGAGCACATTCTGCTATTGGGAATAATCCAGAGAGAAACTCTTGAAATAACAAAGGGAAGAGAGAACATGGAGGAGTAGAAAGGGGTGGGATCTGGAGTACAAATGGAGAAGCTGGCCTAGGATAGGAGCAGAAGTAATTCTTCCATATTATAGGAAGAGAGGGGAGGGCTAGGAATGAAATCGGATAGTTGAGCAAATTTGGTGTGGGAAGTGAGGATTCTTATAAATGACAGTTTCTATTTCCTCAAGGAAGCATGAGGCAAAATTATTAACTGAAAGCACAGTGGGATTAAGAGAGAACAGAAATATACATACACATACCTCCTAACACTATAATTTTTAATTTATAAAACATAAAGAAATTGAAGAGCTTTCCACTCTGTCCACTATCAACTATTACTGAAAAAAAAGATGTTTCGCATATGCCAGCTTCAAATGTTTCAGGAACATTATAACAAAGATAAATGTAGAACTGATGATGAACTCTCCAGGTAATGAGAGGTAGCTGACATATTTCTTCTGCCCCCTCCAAAGCTGTGCTCTATCCTTTTATCTAGTCTAGTGCCTTACCCATATTTGTTAACAACTGTTCCTAATTTTTTTATCATGAAAACAGAGAATATTAAGTACTATGTAATGTTCATTAGCATAATTATATCCAGATGGATTTATAAAATAATAATTTTCTAACAGCACTTATAGCTATACTTCACATTTTAAAGCAAGACTTCAGCACAGAAATTTTCACAGCAATGTAATCACATACAACTTTGCTATATTTTAAAACCATAGTATCATCCTAACTTAAGCAACAAAAATAACATGATATTTAACTAATTAGTTGCTGAACATTTTGTATATTTTATTCACATATCTAATAGGCACTAATAGTAATTTTTCCTTCAAATCACTACCTTAATGGAAAAAAATTCTTAACCATCGGAGGCACAAAATATTAGTAAACTACTAGTTCTGAAAGTATGCCATATTAAAAATAAAAATATTATGAGTACTTGGGCTCATATTCTTACCCACTAAACTCTACTGTCTCCTCTAATCAAAAGCTTCATGTTGCCTAAATTCAAATGATGAGACACTGCCAAACTGGATCTCCTAATTCATCTCCATTTGGACACAACATATCATCAATAGTAATTATTCATATCCACTATCACATTTATAGAACACTAATAAAATACTGCATTAGGTGCTTTAAGCCCAGTATTTGCATGATGACACAGGCATTAAAAACCTTATTTACAAGTGGAGACACAGAAGCTCAGAAAGATTAAGCAAGCTATCAAAGGACTGACTCCAAAGCCCACATTTCCCCATATCCCAGGAGTTCTCAGTTTTTGCTGTGTACCAGAATTATCTGGGGGAAATGTGTGAAAGAAAAACAGATGTATTCCTGGCCCTGCCCTCTCAAGTTTAGGGGCCTGGGCTGATATTGAAGCAGGCACTGCCTGAACAACATCTTGCTGCCTAACAACCCTGTGAACAAGCTTTTCTTTGTTATTTTGTCTTTAAACAGAATGTGTTGGGCAGTGGGTGGGGAAGGATGGGCACCTATGCAGGTTGCTTGTGCATAAATTACCTAGGAAATCAACGAACTGAGAGGCTTTAGTGTGAACTACAGCTGCCGGAGTGAAGTTGGATGCCCTAAGAGACAAAGGAAGCCCTCAGCAAAAAAGTGTGGAGGTGAATCAACAGCATAAATAAGATTTATGAACACGAAAGCTTGGTAAAGTTTCACTGAAATAAAAGAAATCTTAAGTCAATGGACCCTATAAATCTAGTGAGTAGGGGTTTCAGATGGTAACAATAGTAAAATTAAGGGACTCAACACTAGATCTGAGGGTGAAGTGAATCAGTGACATCGGTAATCCATGCTTGCATACCTCTGGGTCTCCAGCACTCTATAAAGGACCCAGGTCCTTCTAGTTATTATTTAAAGGTCTAACTTAGTAAAAGTACTAATGAGAGTATTAGTAAAATCATAACCTAGTTAACTTCTTCTGGATACATAGGAGAAAGAATATGATTTTTTTTTTAAAAAAAAACCCAAAACTTGCAAAGTAATATTTGCCTGTTAATATTATCTAGAAAGAAGGTGAGTCAAGTAGGCATGTAAAGGTCAGAGATGAAAATCCCATATTGGAAAAGGTAATAATAAAAGTTTAGTTACTGTGTCATCTAATATGGAAGCTCACTGTCATAGTTTTTAAGCTTTTTGGTCATAAACTCCTTTCAGTGTTTGATGAGAGCTACATTCTGCTCCCAAGAAAAATGTCCATGCGCTTAGAATTGTGTATGTGATTTCACAGGGTCCGGGAGGCCACCCAGGTGCACAGACCTCTAAATCAAAAATCTCTTTTTTAGATATTGATGCTGTGTCATCCATCTGCTTCCAGAACAAGTACCCAGGCCCCTCTGATATCTCCTGAATGAGAACAAGGGGATTTAATAAATGAATTTTAAATGTGGGAAAAAAGTCTTTTTTTATTGAAATGTTCATAATATTTAGTAAGATCATGTCAGAGATATTGTTTTCTTCCCTTAGTGAAATCCCTCTATATTCATCACTTTTGTTGTAAAGCATCCCATTTGTGAGATTGGCCAATACTTAAGTTAGGTCGTATGACTCCACAAAAAAGCAGGCAGTATATAATAAGACAGTGGCGCCGTTCCAAGAGTTCAAATGTGCTAACACAGGTAGAATTGTTATTATTCTGGGAGGAAATTTTAACTGGATCTCCAGCGTTATCCCAATAATAAATATTAGGAGATTCAGCCATAAAAACGGAGGGTAATTTACTGTTTCTCAGAGGCTTACTTTCAAGACTACACAAGAGAGAGGAGATGTGGAAAGAGCATGTGCCTTCTTATAACATCAGTGTAACCTTAGGCTTCTGAAAATTCAATAGGCTGAGATGTTTAAAACAGCTCCCAGCTCAGTTCTTTCCATGGATCATTAACAAATGGAAACTTTTTATGGTGGATGTTGAGCTTCAAATTTGGGATTACTGCTTGATTTTAGTACTTTTTAAAATTGCAAAAGTTATTTACTTTTTCTTGGAAATGTTTTCTTTATGTCAAGATTACCAAGTTTTGGGTTTAAAATTAAGTTATAAATAGGCACGAGGGTATATAACATAATTCACACCATAATAAATCAGAATATAGGCTAAAGTTCATCTCTATATAGATATGAGAGAAAAAGACTTTCTCGGAAAATAAACAGGTTAATTACAAAACAGAACGTTTGCATGGCATCTATTTCTGCTCTCTTTAGAAGGAATACAAATCACTTTTACCTTTTTACTGAAATGGATTCTTGGGATAACTACAGTATGGTTCATGTTATATATGGTGGAATACAAACGCATAATAACAACACTTTACAGCTGCTTTTATTATAGAGAGGTATTCAACCACTATCTGCAGAACAGAACTTCAGGGCTAATCAAACGCAGAAGCCTAGTGATATTGTATGATTCTGATCTTTCAGGAGAACCCTCAAGTCTATGACATAGAAAAGCATAAAAGCACCACATAAAGACACCTTTCTTTTTCATATACCGAAAAGACAATAAAGTGGTAAAATGAAAAACACTATTTTTGTTCTCCCCCTTCCTTCCTTTACAGCCTTTATTTAAACTTTGAAATTTAGAAAAATTTCACTCCTATTTTCTTTACATTCAATATTATTTTGTATTAGTTTCAGGTTTATTAGTTACAGAATAGTGGTTAGGCAATCATATACTTTACAAAGTGTTCCTTGATATTTCCAGTACCACCTGGCTTCATACCGTCATTACAACACTGTTGACTCTATTCCCTATTTAAGTGACAATAGGTTTACAGGTTCCTTCCAATCTTTCTTTTGTGTTGCCCGCCCTAGTGGAACTGGACTCCTCGCGCAGGAGCCCTCACAGCCGGCCCTCCGCCTTTCCTAAGGGACAGCCGCGGGGCAAACAGAACGAACCTCCCCAGGAGGCTCCCAAGCCTCATTCCACCTCTTCATCATGGATGCTCCACATTCTTTCCTCTCCCCACTACCCCATTCTTTACTGCCCCCCCTTCTGGGGACCAGGTGGTGTGCACCCCAATGAGGCGGGTGAGAACTGGGGGCGGGGCAGGTGCAGACTTGTTTTGGGGCCAACATGGGAGCAGGAGTCCGGCCTCTCAAGTGTGCAGGCTGCGAAGAGGCCCGGTCAGCGCTGGGAGCTTCACCAAACCGCCACAGTGGGGTACCCAGCAGTGGGGCGCTCCTCCACTGAGGTGGCGCTGCCCCTCCACCCCCACCTCAGGGCTGAGAGTCTGCGCCCCTCTGCCCAGGCGTCCTTCCAAGCCTGCAGTCATCGCCTCTTGTTTCCCGCCTATTGGGGCCAATACAGAACCTCACTCTCTGCAGCTTTGCCAAAGGTTCCTCTACCTTCAGGCTCTCTCCTCAGACCCCTGGGAGCTTGGCTCCCACGGCCCAGCCCTTCCTGGCTCCCTGCAGCCCCTGCTCTACTCAGCTCTCCCGCCGCCCACCTGTCAGGACACTGCGGGCGCCTTGCTGCCCGCAGTGTGGTTCTGGGGCAGGGGCTGGGGTATGGGGAGCAGCTCCAGTAAAGTTTAGTAAACCCCAGGCCCCCAGCCCCTCCTTGGGTGGAGCCCAGGGCAGGCTGGAGGCCAGGGTCTTAACACTGTAGCTGCGGAGGCCCTGCCCGCCCAGGACCTCACACAGGGGTTCCGGCTGGCGTTGGGGCTTAGGTGCCACACGGGGCTGGATGGCAGCTAGAGCTGGCCCTCCCTGCCTGCAGTATGCAAATTAGCCGCCATCTTGGTTGGCAGTTAATTTGCATATCACCCTGATTAGCCAATGGGAAGCGGGTGGGAGGTACGGTTAATTACCCTATTTGTCTATTATTAGATAGGATGTGTCCCTGTCACCATCACCACCACCACAGGATTCCCAATATTGTTTTACCTGCTTTGTTTTCAATGCACTTATCACCTAATATGTGACATAATTTATTTATTTTATTCGGTGTTTCACCCCCTAGAATATGAGTTCCTTAAGTCATACATGGATTTTTATTGTTTTTGTTCCCAAATGTGTCCGCAGCACCAGAACACTACTAGCACATAATCGATACTCAATAAATATTTGTTGAATTAACATATGCATAAATGAATAATGCATGAAATAAATTAAATAACTATTAGATTTAAACAATCACATGAAATTACTTTGAGAGCTTGTTTGGAGGTTCTAGCAGGGGAGCGCAGCTACTCGTATACCCTTGACCGAAGACCGGTCCTCTCCTCGGGGGGGAAGGTCGTCCTCTTCGACCGAGCGCGCAGCTTCGGGAGGGACGCACATGGATCGGTGAGGGAGGAGGGGGACACCCGCCTAGCCAGCCAGATCAGCCGAATCAACCCTGGCGATCAATGGGGTGACAGATGTCGCAGCCAGATCGCCCTCACATACATGAAATTACTTTACAAATGAATATCAGTCATTACTATTTTCTACTTTAGAAGTTTCTGATTTTCCACTTAAACATTTGTAGAGACTAATTTAGCCTATGGGGTTCAATAAAGTTCATTCTTCTTATATATATCTATTAAAGTTTTCTGTAGATTCAAAAAGGTAAGGATCGTATTAATAAAATAATATCTCTAATTAATTAAATGTATAAAAATTAAACAGTATAAGCTTTACCAATAAATGATTCAATAAAGTTTCACTTTTTGTAATTAGAGCTACCAAATTGTCTTATTTAAAGATATTCATTTGTGGTTGAGGACACTAAGAAATCATGCTCACAATTTCTCATTTAACTACGTTTGTCTAGTTTTTTTAATCGTTAGTAATCAACAAGAATGAGGGCAAATACACAAGAAGGGAAGGGCACACATTCAACTCCAAATATAAGAGCAATTTAAACTACTATACTGTGTCTTGGAGTTATGGCACCCTCTAGTGTTTACTATGCAGAAATGCGATGAGAACAAATAATGCAAAAGTCTTGTCAGCTTTTTAAAAAAATTTAGGCAGCTGGACAAAATGATGTAAGCACATGACTAAGGAACAGATCAAATGTTTAATTTTGAAATATAGACGGAAAGTTGAGAAATCAAGGTGGCATAAGAAGAATAAACCATTTAAATAACTTTGAAACAAGAATACTCTTCAAGAAAAAAAGGACAAAGGCAAATTAGTTATTAAAGAAGGAAACATTTGAAAAACATTCTAGAACTCTGTGAATAAACCATTTCAAAATGTAAAATTTGATAAAAGTAAATTATCAAATAACACAAAGAATTTATCTTTGAATACCCAGGAGCTATAATTATAAGGCTTTTTCATAACATAGCCTCAACCCTTAATCCCTATGGATAGCATGATATCAAGGCCTCAGTAGATTAAGAGCTCCCAGGTAATTAAAAAACATTTTATTATACTAGGGTGTGACTATTTTAGCTTATTCAGCATTTTGTAACTTAGGTAAATTTCTTTATTGGCTAATGCTGCTGCAGGTACATTTGCAATGACATTAACATTACTTACACCAATATCGGCTTTCCCGATATCCTAGGATGTCTCAGCACTTCTGACATTGTCTCTTTAGTCTCTTCCATTCTCTCTTCATCACTGGAATCCACGACAAATATTACCCCATAGGACTCAGCATAGTAATTCTTCCAGATTCCCCGAATTCTTTTTCCACCTCCCAAGTCAAAGATGGTGATTTCAAACTTCCCTTGTCTAAGGTCAATTTTGGAAAATCCAACAGTAGGAGCTACGTCTTCAGGATATTCTGTTTTGAATGATATGAAAGAAACAATCTTTAGACTTTAAATTAATAACAATTTAACTTCACAACTTAAATAATGTGCAATGGAATGGAATGTGATGGAATGGAATGTTAGAATAGAATGTTTATTATTTCCTTACACAATGAGCATTACATCTAAGCATACTGGTCTGGGGGAAGGGTGGATAATATAAAATACCCAACTAGAATTCACACTCCATGCAGATAAGAGTTTCTGTCTGTTTTTTTTTTTTTAATATATTTTTTATTGATTAAGAAATTACATATGTGTCCTTGTCACCACGTTACCCTCTACCCCCCCCCCCCCCTCCCGACCCCCACCCCCTCCTCTTCGC